ATGAATGAATGAATGAATGAATGAATGAATGAATGAATGAATGAATGATGTGGAAAATGATTGCAGTGTAAAAACAATGCTTAGATATTAATTGGATCCTCTGGGAGAAATGCTTATTGCTATGAGGGAGAAAAATGCTACCTTGATAAAATAGCTTTGAATCTTTGATAACAAAGGGGTTATTCTTTCAATCATGAGGGCAAGTGTAACACATTATTGGATCTCTACATACAACAATGCCTCTGACTAAAAAAACTGCTGCTGTGTTTATAAATATAGCTACTAACTATATCTGAGCATAGCGTGGCTCACAACTAGGATTCTCCATTCACTTTTGTGCATGTTAATAGATGATGGACGTCTAGGGAGGTGAAAAAATATCACTGAACTGAGGCCAGTTCATGAAATAAATGAATAGGTACGCAAGAGTTCCACTCAACTGTTCTTCCATCTTCCCTTTTTTTTAGCCATTATAATAATTTGCTCTGGGAAGAATGTGCATGAAAGGAACACTATGCTGCATCATGATGTAATACCATGTCAATTTTAAGAGAGCACAGAGAAAACAGCCATTTAGAGTTTTACTTCATTTGAAAAAAAAAATGAAATTAACTACTGGCATTAACAACTCTTCATACCAATGTTGCTTTTGACTGAAGTTAATTGGAATGAATTTTAAAGCTGAACAAGCAAAACCACTCTGCAGTTCTTGAAAGCTTTAAACTGAATTCAAAGACTATAATCCAGGCAATCCTATAGGTGAGTTGTTTTAGCTGAGCAATAATTACTCATACTTTAATTGTTTCTGGTTAGGTAACAGGTAGTTGCTTATGGGGGAGGTTGGGTATCGAGATAAAAAAGTATAAGCAGCCACCCAAGTGGATTGCTTTAAGATTATGCATCAATGCAAAGAGAATAAAATACATTAAGAAGTCAAATCTACAATATACTTCTAAATAAGATTTTTAGACTCAGATCTTAATAACAACAACAACAATAATAACAACAATAATAATTCTACTTACACATAATAATGATAATATTGGAATTGACAAAATCACCATCACACAATTGCAAAAGGCAGCTTTACTTAGAATAGCTTATATTCTGCAATGATACCTTTAACAGCATCAAAGAACATCTGCCTATCCCAGGTCTTTGGGAAGGACTTGACAGGTGGATAAAAATGCCAACTCCAGTCTAAACATCTGGCTGACTATGTGACCAACCATAATAATATTGATTCCTCTGTCAACAATACTGAACAATACTGAACAACAGGCTATGGCTATCAAACATCAAAAACATCTGCCAGGCTATCCCACCTCCTTTACATGGACAATCTGAAGCTGTATGGAAAAACACCATCTCAAATAGA